GGTCTGAATCAGAATCTGATTATTTTTAATTAGTTTTTATTTCTATTAAAAAAGTCACAAAAGTACCAAATGCCTCAGAATATCAGCCCCTTCAAAATAAATGATTGCCTCCATTTTTGACTTTTTAACCCCAACTTTCTTGTTCCTGAGTTAATAAGATAAGAGCTTGAGTATAAACATCATATTTGAGGCTACCTTTGGAGTTTAGATGTTTAGTTTGTTGTTCCAGTCTGTTCTATTTTTAGAAGTAATCAGATTACTCATGTTGGATGTGGACGTTCTGCTTTATAGGGTCGTATCCGCGTCTGTCACTGAGCTTCAAGCTCAAAAGAAACATCGGATATTTCATCCTGCAAACCTACATGCCCTCCATCCTGATCACCATCCTGTCCTGGGTCTCCTTCTGGATAAACTACGACGCCTCGGCTGCCAGAGTGGCTCTAGGTGGGTCCAGCTAGTTTTTAGTTGTGGCTCAGAGAGGGGCAGGGCTACTGAGATGTTGTTGGCTACATCTGTGAAAGGCTCAGACAGAAACCAGCGGAAGAACATGTAGCTAAGTCATTCTCGTTTAAGATGGCTGCCACAGCTAATCCCCATGTAACACGTAAAAGTTCAGGTTTGTAGGTCAGCAGTTGAGAACCGTTCACTCCCACCAGATCCTCAGAACTCCTGGGACACTGGGAACATCTGGATCCTCTCGGGATATTGTTTTTGAAGAATCCTCTGAGTTTTGGGAATTCTGGATTCTAGCATACATATAAATGTTTTTTATTCCGCTTTCATGGGAAAACCCGACCTGAGACTCTTGGGTTGTCTTCTTCTATTGGAGACAAATGTAGATCTAACAGGTCTCTGGTCTCACGTAAACTACGAGATACGTGATCTCTGTCTGAATTGGTCACCTGGAGTCATCAGAGTGAACGGACTGGTGTTCTTCCTGCTCTTACAGCCGTGCTGTGATTGGTCCATCCTCCTCAGCGGGCAGTAAGAACTCCAGTCTGTTTTGGTGATGGAGCCTCAGATGTTTCAGGCTTTAGGGTTTGCTACACTGTTGACCATTTTATGAAACCCTCGGACATCTAAGGATGAACGGAGTTACAGAGGAATCCTTTTCACTTCCACAAAGTGATGTCATGAGTTGGTTCAAACGGTTTTATCTTTAGAAGAAGGAAATCTCTGAAGACTTTTGGTTTCATGTTCTCTAAGACCTACGGGTAGATTACTGTGAAGCTCGATTAGAAGTGATGAATGCGGTTTTATTTCAGTTCAGACGTCCGTGAGGTCTCTGTGAGCCGACAGGAGCGGTTTGAGTTACTGAGGTGATGAAGCAGATCAGGTTCACGGCCCTAAAGCAGCCATTAGCCGTCCATTAAGGGAGATGGCGTGAAGCAAAGGTGAGCCGGAGCAACGAAGAGCCTTCTAATTACATCCAGTAAAGATTTTACTGGAACCTCTCCTTTCAGACTCCATTTGTATTAAAAAAATAAATCAATTAAGCTCAATTATTTAGTCTCTTGGGATGAAATGAAAACATGAATGACCTTATTATTGATTTTGAGCAACATCTCTAAAATCCTGAAATGAAACCAGATGGATTTAACCTGAAGCCTTGTTTTCCGAGAAAAACAAACACACCTGTGTTGTCTTTCTGCAGGTATCACCACCGTGCTCACCATGACCACCATCAACACACACCTGAGGGAGACGCTACCTAAGATCCCCTACGTCAAGGCCATAGACATCTACCTGATGGGCTGCTTCGTCTTCGTGTTCCTGGCCCTGCTAGAGTACGCCTTCGTCAACTACATCTTCTTCGGCCGAGGTCCTCACATGCAGAAGAAGGCAGCAGAAAAAGCGGCTAAATCCAACAACGAGATTAAAAGCAGATTAGAGAGCAACAAAGTGCAGGTAAAGACTTAACCAGCTAGTTTTCAAACAGGTAAACGAAGCTGCTTTTATCAGGATAAAACAGTTAAAGGGCCAGCGTCATGCCATTCTACAGCTTCTAGAGATGGGGTCCAGCATGTTTTCATGGTTTCTCTGCTCCAACACACCTGATTCACCTGTGCAGCAGCTCAGACCTGTTACTAACCTGCTGACTGAAATCAGGTGTGTTGAAACAGAGTTCAGACTAAAACGTGCTGGTCCCCCCAGGACCAGAACTGAATACCTCTGTTCCAGATCAAATGGAGGCACGATATGTGATGAAACTTTCACTTTTCATGAAATATAAGTTTTGAGTCATTCCTTCAACCTGGAAATAAGCGGTGTTGGAAAAGTTCGTCTTAAAAGCGAACAGGTTCAAAGTTCAGTTCATTCATTTAAAACGAACAGGTTCAAAGTTCAGTTCATTCATTTAAAATAAACTAGTTCAAAGTTCAGTTCATTCATTTAAAATAAACTAGTTCAAAGTTCAGTTCATTCATTTAAAATATACTAGTTCAAAGTTCAGTTCATTCATTTAAAACGAACAGGTTCAAAGTTCAGTTCATTCATTTAAAATATACTAGTTCAAAGTTCAGTTCATTCATTTAAAACGAACTAGTTCAAAGTTCAGTTCATTCATTTAAAATAAACTAGTTCAAAGTTCAGTTCATTCATTTAAAATGAACTAGTTCAAAGTTCAGTTCATTCATTTAAAATAAACTAGTTCAAAGTTCAGTTCATTCATTTAAAATAAACTAGTTCAAAGTTCAGTTCATTCATTTAAAACGAACAGGTTCAAAGTTCAGTTCATTCATTTAAAATATACTAGTTCAAAGTTCAGTTCATTCATTTAAAACGAACTAGTTCAAAGTTCAGTTCATTCATTTAAAATGAACAGGTTCAAAGTTCAGTTCATTCATTTAAAACGAACTAGTTCAAAGTTCAGTTCATTCATTTAAAATAAACTAGTTCAAAGTTCAGTTCATTCATTAAAATGAACTAGTTCAAAGTTCAGTTCATTCATTTAAAATAAACTAGTTCAAAGTTCAGTTCATTCATTTAAAATATACTAGTTCAAAGTTCAGTTCATTCATTTAAAATAAACTAGTTCAAAGTTCAGTTCATTCATTTAAAATAAACTAGTTCAAAGTTCAGTTCATTCATTTAAAATAAACTAGTTCAAAGTTCAGTTCATTCATTTAAAATAAACTAGTTCAAAGTTCAGTTCATTCATTTAAAATAAACTAGTTCAAAGTTCAGTTCATTCATTTAAAATATACTAGTTCAAAGTTCAGTTCATTCATTTAAAACGAACAGGTTCAAAGTTCAGTTCATTCATTTAAAATATACTAGTTCAAAGTTCAGTTCATTCATTTAAAACGAACTAGTTCAAAGTTCAGTTCATTCATTTAAAATAAACTAGTTCAAAGTTCAGTTCATTCATTTAAAATGAACTAGTTCAAAGTTCAGTTCATTCATTTAAAATAAACTAGTTCAAAGTTCAGTTCATTCATTTAAAATAAACTAGTTCAAAGTTCAGTTCATTCATTTAAAACGAACAGGTTCAAAGTTCAGTTCATTCATTTAAAATATACTAGTTCAAAGTTCAGTTCATACATTTAAAACGAACTAGTTCAAAGTTCAGTTCATTCATTTAAAACAAACTAGTTCAAAGTTCAGTTCATTCATTTAAAACGAACTAGTTCAAAGTTCAGTTCATTCATTTAAAATGAACAGGTTCAAAGTTCAGTTCATTCATTTAAAACGAACTAGTTCAAAGTTCAGTTCATTCATTTAAAATAAACTAGTTCAAAGTTCATTTCATTCATTAAAATGAACTAGTTCAAAGTTCAGTTCATTCATTTAAAATAAACTAGTTCAAAGTTCAGTTCATTCATTTAAAATGAACTAGTTCAAAGTTCAGTTCATTCATTTAAAATAAACTAGTTCAAAGTTCAGTTCATTCATTTAAAATGAACTAGTTCAAAGTTCAGTTCATACATTTAAAACGAACTAGTTCAAAGTTCAGTTCATTCATTTAAAACGAACTAGTTCAAAGTTCAGTTCATTCATTTAAAATGAACAGGTTCAAAGTTCAGTTCATTCATTTAAAACTAACTAGTTCAAAGTTCAGTTCATTCATTTAAAATAAACTAGTTCAAAGTTCAGTTCATTCATTTAAAACGAACTAGTTCAAAGTTCAGTTCATTCATTTAAAACGAACTAGTTCAAAGTTCAGTTCATACATTTAAAACGAACTAGTTCAAAGTTCAGTTCATACATTTAAAACGAACTAGTTCAAAGTTCAGTTCATGCATTTAAAACGAACTAGTTCATTTTTAGTTCATCATTAAAACGTTTTTGATCTAAGTTCACTGTTCGTGCTAAATGAGCTAACCTTTAAGGACTCATTAATATTCAGATGGGAAATAAATTCATCGGATAAATCTTTTGACCTTCTGACCCTGTTGTTGCTTTTAGACTGTTACACAGGAAGCTTCTGCTCTTTCTCAGGTTGATGCTCATGGTAACATCCTCCTGACCAACCTTCCCTCTGAGATGGGCGGACCAGACATGATTGGTGCTCTCAGTGACCCACGGGCCACCATGTTCTCCTATGACAGCGCCAGCATACAGTACCGGAAGCCCCTGACCAGCCGGGACCTGTATGGGCGACCGGGCTTGGACCGGCCCGTGGCTCACAAGAAGAACCGCCTCCGAAGGAGAGCATCGCAGCTCAAGGTCAAGATCCCAGACCTCACAGACGTCAACGCCATAGACAAGTGGTCTCGGATAGTGTTCCCCATCGCCTTCACCTTCTTCAACCTGGTCTATTGGCTGTACTACAACCACTAGGGCGGCGCTGGCGAGCAGCAGCGGCACTTTTTACCAGACCAGATCTGTTCTAGAGGATTCATCTGTAAAAATCCTCTTTTGGAACTGGTCCGTTCTGCTCTTTACGGTGTAAATAATACAGTTTAATACAAATATAAATACATACAGAGATCTAATTTAATAAACACGTCTTGCTTTTGCTGTAATAAAAACAGGATTTGGAGATGAAAAGGGTCGAGTTAAAGACGGTAGAGATGCTCAAACCTGCCAAATAAAACTCATGAAACTTGTTTGCTGGGTTAGAATAACCGTTTCAAACGAAGCGGATCAGTTAAACTGCCTCTATTATTAAAAAGTCCCGCTAAAACCTCATTCTTACTCAACTACAGGAGGAAAACTAAACTATTACTATTTAACCCTCGGGGAGGAGGGGGGATGACTCCATTAAAGAGACACCTGAGGGTCAAAAATGACTTATTTGTTCATTTTAGGATTATTTTCTTTGTTTTCCTTTAAACATAAAAAAACGCCACATTTATATATTAATTCTGATGATTTTAACAGGTTAGAAGTGGAGCTCCTAATCCCAGATCCAATTGGCTGTTTTATCCCGAATCATTCCCGTCTGACGGCAGGTTTTAAGGCTATTCTCCTGCAGGACGGAGCTTTCCTTACAGCTGAATTTTGTTCCTTTTACCAAGAATCTTAATCTTTTCACAGGGTCAGCTTAGTGGGCTGTTTCAGACGTCTTGTACTTTTGTAGAACAACCAGAACCAGGAGGCTCTGCGTGCATCTCCGTCATCTGAGAGTGGTTTAGAGACATTCCAGCATCATGATGACAATCTTTCAGGGCTGATCCAAAAACACTAAAGAGCAAGCAGCTGGACCAGAGCAGCTAATGGACTCAGAACAACGGCTCTCCCTGCAGGCTTTACTCCGTCTGCTTTCCCTGCTCTACATGTGCTCTCAAGCGGAACGGCGGGACTTTCTGCTCCACATCAGGAGAACATCCCACTCCGGTCGGTTTTTGTGTCAAATCCCACAGAAATGAGACGCGCTGAAATAAAGCTGCTGAAGTCTGAACATGTTGACTTGTTTGTTGCTTTAAGAGCAGACGGTGAAGTAGGGCTGGGCTATATATCGAAAATTTATCGTTATGGAAATTTCTGACTATTGGAGAAAATTTTCCCATGTCAACAAATTTGAAAATACAAAAATGAAAAGATGTGTGTAGATTGTCAACATTTATGTCCCGATGCTGCAGCACCGTGTGACATACACCTGACAGCTCCATCTAGTGGACAACTGTTGTTTCTGCGCACACCTGTAGTTATCGTCCACTTATCGTTATCCAGGTGAAGTCCTGAATATATCGTGATATTGGTTTTAGGCCATATCGCCCAGCCCTATGGTGAAGTCCAGTTTTCCACCACATTCCCAGAGACGGAGCGTCCTGATAATCCTCCAGAGCAAAGATGGGACTAAAATACACGGTAAAATATCACCGTCTGCACTATTGAGATGTCATTTTGATCATGAAAGATTTTTTTTTTAGCTTTTCGTTCAAGCTGGAATAAGACACTTGGAATCATTCGCCCCCCTCGATTTCCTCAATAGTGCACAGCTGCAGACCCGGAGACGCACGCCGACGTGTCAGCCCCAGCGTGGTCCATCGATGAAGCCATCATCTTTCACGTCCCGCCGTGTTTTAATGATCCGAACCGGAGCTAGGGGTAGAGCTGCGGCTCCTCCTGAGGAGGTTCTGGTCAGGAAGCTCCCGGTCCCCTCGCTCAGGAGGAGTTCCCGGGTCAGAACCAGAACCATCAGAGTTTGTAAATCTAAGAACACATTTTCAAAGTTCAGACAGAAACACGGTTTTTACTCCCAGTGCTTTAAATCTTTATTACATCAGAACCAACATGACGTCTTCACTTCAGCTGCAGCACCACCTGGAACACAAACACCAGATCAGTGGTTTAGAGCAGAAGCACGCGGTGGTCCAGGTTTTACACTTTTCTGTGCTGACGCTGCCGTCTAGTGTCTGAATTTAGGAGCTGAAATCAGATTTATTTCTGAGATTCCTAAATCTGCTGACGGCTGCAGATTTTTAAACTAAAACAAGGAAGTGAAGGTTAAAACTTCCTGTTTGTGCTCCACAGCCGTTTGCTACATCAGACCGCCAGCACAGTTGCATTATGGGTAAAGGAGTGCATGTGGGTACCTTATTAGCAGCCTCCAGCGAGCTGATGAGAGAGCTGAGCTCCTCCCTGTTCATCTCCATGGCGATGGGCCGGAGGACGCCGTTCGCCCTCACGTCCAGGCTGAGGCTGAGCAGCAGCGTGTTGAGGGACGAGATCTTATCGCTGGACAGAGCCAACTGCAGCAGAGAGTGAAAGAACAGACTCTAAACAGAACTGAGCGTGATAAAAAAGACGAACGACATTTCTGACTTTAAAAAGTCCGTAAACACTAAAAAACAACAGCTGGATCACCTTCAGCTGCCAGTCAAAATCCTGCAGGCTAGCAGGGGAGATGTTGTTGGTTCTGTCCAGCAGAGCGTGGCGGATCTCCCCTTGTCGTGCTCTGAGCACACTCAGTACCACTCCGGCATGGCTGCTGTTCATATCTGAGAGCTTAGCCAGAACCTGCAAACATCCAGAACCAGGCGTGAGAATCTGACCCAAGCTCAGCTGATCCGAGCTTCCTACGAGAGGAAATGCATTTTTGTTTTGATGTTTCCATGTTTTTAGACCTGCTGCACAGCTCTAACCACAACACACCTTCTAATTTCTCTCACCTCTTCATCTGAGATGTTGCTCCCAACGCCGAGGTGGAACAGGGCCGACAGGAAGTGGGTCAGCTGCAGCCACTCCTCCAGGCTCCAGGTGGAGCAGTAATCCGTCCTGAGAGGAGGCTCACGCCCACACAGCCCGTCCACCAGCCGGTGGCACAGCTGAAACAGCAGCAACGCCATCAGGGATATATTCAAGGACCATACACAAGTTTCAGATGGAGCCCCATTCTGACCACGGTGCATCTCCGATCAGAACCCTGATCTTAGCATCACAGATCAAGGCTTTGGAACCTGGTGCTTCGTCTGTGACCACACACAGTTCATTCCCAACAAATATCTGGAATACCGATCCCTGTTTCAACTGTGGTTCTGCTCCAACCTCTGGCACAGATCAACACCAGGCTTCTGCTCCACTCGGAAGGATCCATCCATCCACCTTCTCTTCATAGGAGGGATGTATAAATCTGTTCTTTTTCTGTGAATAACTTAAATAATTATCTCATCCCGTGATTTCATTTGACCTCTTAACTAAACCTACACTTCAGGATTTAATTAAATTGTTGTTTTTATTGACAAACTAACACGACCAGAACATACGGGTTAGCAGGGATTCATTCTGTCTGTCTGACTTAAATCAAACAGGAAAAATAAACACGTTCTAATTATTTTTCATAACATTTTCTTTATTTTTGACTTTGGGGTAAATCAGATTTATTTAGGAAGAAGAAACTGATTATTTAAGAAGAAAATATATTATTTTGAAAGTATCATCCAACAGATCCGGAAAAAGACAATCCATCAAACTTTAAATAAATGAGTTTTTAAACCGGATATTTTATCTAATAAAAACGTTTAAAAGTTTAAATCACGACTCCGAAACATCTCCGACTTACTTTACAACATTCTGTCTCTGATATTCTGTTGATTAAATCCATCCCGGTGTTATTCCGCTCCGCAGCTGCTTCCGGTCAGCTGACCTTAGTCACATGACAAATGGTGCTGCGTTCAGGTCCGTTGGGAAACCCAGGAGCCGCCTCTGATTCAGCAGGGAAGCGGATTTGTTCGGTGGTTACCCGGACAGAGGAGCTGTTTGCGTGTTTATCAGCCGAACTAAGAAATGTACCGGTTCCGTTGAGTGGTTAATTAGTGAAACCGAACGCGAGTCGCTGCCTCCCCCCCTACCGACGCGTTTTTACGTCCTGTTATCCGCCCAGGAACTCTGGAGATGTGACCGACGCGGTTACCCCGCTGCCTGAAGCTAACCTCGATGGTCGGGCAGCGAGTGGAAACAAAGAACCGGGTAAGAAGGAGCAGTTGTACCGGAGGGGAACGCTCCGGGTTACCGGTGAGAGCTGTTAATGCATAGCAGATATTTGTTCGTCCAGAGCAGGAACCTTGGGCCTCGCTGCCAGCGCAGAGTCCGACTGCACTGAACTAATCACAGACCCAGGATCAGCAGTTTGTTAGTCTTCAGTCCTTCTGCCCCCAGCTGGCTGGCTGTGGGTCAGCGCAGAAGTTTGTACTTTGAACAGACTGCCTTTAGCTGGAAACTGGACATAAAGTGACGCGTCGGCAGGTCTGAAAGGATTAAAGCTTAAATAATGTAGAGCAGGAGCATGTAGGGCAGCTTTTAATAGATGGAAGGTGTCTACAGTAAACAGGTGTCTCCTTCCAGCCATGAATAATGCAGGTAGATGAAGGTTAGCAGCTGGGGCTTTAGGAGAGATGATTCATTAAAGGTCAGTTTCACATCAGAGCTCGAGTCACGTGGAGCTTCGGAGCCATGAAAACGTCACTATTAGGGTTCAGGTGGTGCTTCTGGGTCATTTCTGCCTGTAAATAAATGATATTAACAGATGATATTTCAGGTTTGACTCAATCTGAAACATCCATCCAAACATTTTCGTCCGCTTATACCGGGTCGGGTCGCGGGGCACCACCCGAAGCAGGGAGGACCAGACTTTCCTCTCCCCAGAGACCTGGACCAGCCAGTGAAGGAGCAGCAGATCTACTCCGAGCCCCTCCCGGATGACCGAGCTTCTCACCCTATCTCTAAGGGAGAGCCCAGCCACCCTGTGGAGAAAACTCATTTCAGCCGCTTGTGTCCGTGATCTCGTTCTTTCGGTCACTACCCAAAGCTCGTGACCACAGGTGAGGGCAGGAACGTAGATCGGCCGGTAAATCCGCTCTCTTCACCAAAACAGATCGGTACAACGTCCGCATCACCTCTGCTATAAAATCTATAAAATGCTCCCAAGACCAAACTTGTTTCCCAACTCTACTTTATTTGTTTGTATTTCTAAGGCTTTTATTGTGAAAAGCTGGTAAACTCATAATAAGCTATGTAGTGCTCTGGGCATCTCTTAAAGCTCTTATTTTGGTGAGTTGCCTGAAGCTTTTCCCTTGTGAACATTGATTCCTTACTCTTCTGTTTGCTAACGTTCTCTAAAATGTGCTCCGACGTTCTGTCACGTAGGGAATCATCCCTGGAACAGCTTCCCTGTCGGAATGTTTTATTCCGTTTCTCTGCAGGAGGAGGACGTGGACAGAGCCCAGCCTGGAGCAGAAGACGGATCCAGAAGCCAGGAAGGAGGGGGCTGGGCTGCAGCTCTTGCTGCGTAGATGGAACGTTTCCACTGGGTGCAGCACCGCTGTCGACAACTGCTGACGGGCAACTCGGAGCGAGGATGGTACTCCTCCCCCGATGGCCTCCCCACCAAGAACTCGTTGGATGCCCACAGCTCCTCTCAGAGGGCCGGTGGGAGGAGGAGGACGGTGCTTGCCCGACACGGCCCCCACCATCAAGAATACGAAGACATCTCCAGAAAGTACAAGGGCAACGCCATCCGCACCACCAAGTACAGCCTGCTGACCTTCATCCCCATGAACCTGTTCCAGCAGTTCCACAGGTCTGCCTTTCAGAAGCTGTAGTTGAAGGTCAGGTTTAGAACGTCTCTGTGGAAATGTCCATTTGTGTGGCTGGTTTTTAGTTTCAGGGGTCCTTAAATCTAAAGATCATGTGTGAGCGTAGACCATTCCGGAGGAACCTGAAGTTTCATGTTTCTGGCCCCTGCAGGGTGGCCAACCTCTACTTCCTGTTCCTGGCGCTGCTGAACTGGGTGCCGGTCGTGGAGGCCTTTGAGAAGGAGATCACCATGATCCCTCTGCTGGTGGTTCTAGCAGTCATCGCAGTCAAAGACGCACTAGAAGACTACAGACGCTTCCTGTTCGATAAGAAGGTCAACAACAACCTGGTGCGAGTTTTCTGTGGGTGAGTGAAGCTCTAGGTCCTCTAGAAAAGAATCCAACCTGGAGTCGAGCCAGAACCCTGGAGCTTCCACACGGATGGAAGGAGCAGGAAGAACGCTGGGAGTTCAGCAGGGAGGTGGAAAATGGAGCAGGAAGCTGCAGGAGCAGATGTTGTTTCAGCTGGACTCGGTATCATGACATGCAGGAGAACTTAAATAAGCAAACTGAACAAGTTTCATTATTTCTGCTCGGCGTTACGGTAGAAGCAGGAACCTTTAGTTCCCTCCAGCGCGGAGGAAGTGAAACAAGTTTCAGTTGGACCTAAAACACGCAGAAACACTAACAGCTGCAGGAGTGAACCAAGTCCAGGTTCTAGTCCTCACCTGTGGACCTGGTCCTCTTCCTTCTGGTCTTCCCATCCTTTTCTCCTCTGAAACCCTCTGGAGACCAGGAACTTCTTTAGAGAACACAATATAGCAGACGGTGTTCTCCTGTAAAACCATCTCAGCAGCTCCACTAACGAGCCGTTTCAGGGCGCTGTCGCTTTAAGACAACAAGCTGCTGGCCACACCCACTTGCACCTAATTGGCCGCTCTGGGGTGAGGGGCTTGGAGTAGAGCTGCTGCTCCTCCAGCCTGGAGAGGTGGTGGTGGGGGGTTTCAATGCTAATGTCCCTGATTGTGATGTCACAAACGGGGACTTATTCAAACGACTGGTTTTAGGCAGTAACAGGTTTCCATGGAGACAGCAGCGTTTACACACGAGACCCGGTTTAAACAAAAATAATTTTTTATCATCAAAGCAAAACAATTAGAATCAAATCAAACTGCGGTTGGAGGTTTTAGGATCCGGAATCTGCTGGGATCAGGCGATCGGGATGGATCAGGTCCAGATCGTGTTCTGGTCTGTGAGGTTCGTTTCTACCCGCAGGTTCGGAACGATTCTGGTTCCTCTCCCCTGGAGGTTCTGATGGGCCAGAGCGAGACAAGGTTCTTCTCTGGGGTTCGGCTCATGGATCTGGTCAGAAGATGCTGGAATGTGTGAAAGCACCGATAGAAGCTCCAGATGTAGAAGTAACCAGCTAACTAGCTGTAACCGGGGACGACTAGTCCCACAGGCTGATGCATGAATCCGATCCCAGAGGTTCTTTTCGGAGAGTCCGGGACTGCATCGAGTTGTTCCGGCAGAGCGACGCTCCCTGCTGCTCCCGCTGATGATGTAACATCTGAGCTGTAAAAGCTGAACCTTGACTTGGCTGCAGAGGAGTGCTAACGATCCGTGGCGTTCCGCCTGTCATTCTTCCTCCACCTTTCCTGTTTGTTCTCCAGCGGGATGAAAGCCCGATCAGGACTGTGGGCTTACAGCCGGGCGACACCAGACCGACACCCAGCGAGCTGAATCCTGAAGCGGCGGCTTTAATCCTCCGGAGCAGCGGACTCATGTCTGTCTGGGAGTGGCTGTGTTGGAGACGCTCGGATCGGGAACATCTGAAGAAGAAACGGACTGTTGGACCTTCCTTCACTGAGGATGAGGAGCTGAAACACAAACTGGGTTTATATAAAAACAACAAGATCCGGACCACCAAGTATTCCCTCCTCTCTTTCCTGCCTAAGAATCTGTTTGAGCAGCTCCATCGTTTGGCCAACATCTACTTCCTCTTCCTCGCTGCCCTGAACTTCGTTCCTGTGGTGGAGG